GGGGCACCCGCCCTCGGGCACAGGGCGTCCCGCCGGGCACGGCCGCAGGGGACGCGGCTCCTCCGGCTCTGCCCGCGAAGCCGCCCCGCACGGAGCCCTGCCGAGGTGCCCGCGCTCGCCATGTCCGTCTGACCCGAAAACGCGTTCCGGGGGAACGGGGAAACCTGCGCCGGCCAGCTGGCAGCGCGTGATTCCTCCTCGGGCATCGGGCATAGGGAGGGCTGCTCGCAACTGCCCCGTCCCTATGAGCGGGCGGCTTTGCTGCTCCCAGGGCAGCGGAGAAGGAGGAGGTTTGTTCCCACGTCCCCGAGGATGCCGCGCAGGCACAGCTCCCTCTGCTCAGCCGAGGCGCTGCCTCTGCCAGGGGCTGGGGTGACGTTCCCGAATGACAAAGGGCTCCCAGGAGCCTTTTCAAACAGGCGAAGCGCAGCCCTTGGAAAGCCCCCGCGACGCCTCTCCCATCGCCCCCGCTCGCTGCCCCCGGCCCCTCGAACCCCAGCACCCCACCAGCAGACCGAGACCCCTGGCAAGATCAAGTGCAAAGAGGTTTAGGATGAAAGAGCCTTTTCTTCCAAAAGCAGCCCCCCCCGCCGCCACCCTCACCCGCTGCCAAGCGGCTGGAGCGCGACAGAGCGACGCGGGGCCAACGGCCGGACTCCGACCCCCTGCGTCCCGCTCCCCTCTGCCTCCCCCGTGCCACCGCCTTCCAGGGCGATGCCAGCAAAGCAGGGGACGGCTCCAGAGCCTGCCTGGGGACCTGGCCCAGCACTGGAGATACCGGGAGCGCAGGCAGCCCGGGGCGGGGAGCAACATGTCGCAGCCCCCCGCACCGCGGCCCCGGCACCTCCCGCAAGGTCCTCGCTGCCGCGTCCCCTCCCTGGGCACCGTCGCATCCTCCTTTCCTTGGCCCTGATGGCCAGAAGGGATGCAGCGACTGTCGGACGCCATGGACAGCGAGGAGGAAGAGCACCCCAGCTCCGTGTGTCCCCCCAAAACCACCAAGGTGCTAACGCTCCTGCGCCGCCTCTGCGATGTCCACGGCCAGGCGCGGGACGGGGCTCCCTGGCCCCGCACAATGCCCAGGCTCCATCCCCGCTGCTAGGCTGGCTCCCGGTGCCCCTTCCCGGGGGTCCCAGGGAGCCGTGGCCCGTCCCCCTCCCCAGGCACACCGAGAGGTGCCAGCCGTGCCCCCCACCCGCCGGGGCAAGTCCCGGCCCTTTTTGGCCAACACAAGATGTTGCTTTTTCACCCTGGCTGCGCCGTTCCCATGGCAACCGGAGGGCCAGGCTCTGCCAGCTGGGTAACCATGGCAACGAGAAAAGCCCCATCCTGCTCAGCCCAGACATCGTGTGTCACCCCAGCATCACCCAGGGGCCCCCCCGGCAGCACCCCGCATCCCTCCGGGGGATGGCGAGGGGCCACGGGCAGCCACCGACATCATCACCATCCTCCTCCTCCTCCTCCCGCAGCCCTCGGCCTGGGGGGGGGTTACACAGATCATCCCCCTCGCCCCGGCTCCGGAGGCATCTCCCCTCCACCATGGTGCCTTAATTAGGAAAAGTAATTAACGTTGCACCGAGCGCCGGTGCCCGGCTGCATCCCCGGCAGAGCCTCCATAGGGAGGAGGGTTTAAATCCAGGCAACCGCGCCGGCGCAGCGGCCTCGTGGCGGGGCTGCCTTTGTGGCCCGCAGAGCAGAGGCAGGGCAACCGTCCTCGGGCACAGGGCGTCCCGCCGGGCACGGCCACAGGGGACGCGGCTCCTCCGGCTCTGCCCGCGAAGCCGCCCCGCACGGAGCCCTGCCGAGGTGCCCGCGCTCGCCATGTCCGTCTGACCCGAAAACGCGTTCCGGGGGAACGGGGAAACCTGCGCCGGCCAGCTGGCAGCGCGTGATTCCTCCTCGGGCATCGGGCATAGGGAGGGCTGCTCGCAACTGCCCCGTCCCTATGAGCGGGCGGCTTTGCTGCTCCCAGGGCAGCGGAGAAGGAGGAGGTTTGTTCCCACGTCCCCGAGGATGCCGCGCAGGCACAGCTCCCTCCGCTCAGCCGAGGCGCTGCCTCTGCCAGGGGCTGGGGTGACGTTCCCGAATGACAAAGGGCTCCCAGGAGCCTTTTCAAACAGGCGAAGCGCAGCCCTTGGAAAGCCCCCGCGACGCCTCTCCCATCGCCCCCGCTCGCTGCCCCCGGCCCCTCGAACCCCAGCACCCCACCAGCAGACCGAGACCCCTGGCAAGATCAAGTGCAAAGAGGTTTAGGATGAAAGAGCCTTTTCTTCCGAAAGCAGCCCCCCCCGCCGCCACCCTCACCCGCTGCCAAGCGGCTGGGGCGGGAACAAGCGAAGCGGGGCCAACGGGC